TTCTTGGGAAGCAACGAACTGATGGTGTTGAACGGTAGGAGGGAATGCGATAAGCCGGAGTTCACCAGGCAACGGGCAGTTTGCAATGAATACTCGATCCTCGACTACATCTTGGTAGATATGGGGAGCACACAGATCCTTGAGCTGCATGTAAGTGCGATAAACATAGGTTCGACCGAGCATTTCCTCATATGGGCAAGCATCGACCGATCTAGAATGGAGAGTAAGATGTTCGTGAGTCTGCGAACATTGCTGTTGGATACATGTGCTGGATGATTTTGTGTCACGCAGACTGGTAAGATAACCGTTTGATAGGGGGCACCGCGATGATTCACGGGGTCCCTCCTTGCTGTGGGAGCCGCTCTTTGAGCACTCCCTCTTTCGTCCGTGTGAAGGATGGTCGTCTACCTCCCGTGAAGTTAATACATCACCAAAACAGTCTCACCCGATAAATAAGTGGCGTAGGCCGCAAACACTCTAGAGTTTTGCCCCTCGAGGGAAGCCACATCGGGATGAGCTCTGCTGGAGACGAAGAGCGCGCTGCTGCGAGCGGAGAACAGATCCGCCCGCCAGTGCAGGAGGGCCGCGACGCGGAGCTTGCAAGTTTGCAACGGCAGATTTCGCAATTGGCGGCCCTGGTGGAGGAGTCGGTGAAGAAGAAGGAGCCTGGCAGCGTCGTGGCGGATGCAGCCAGTAGGGGTGGCTGGGTTGCTGCCCCCAGAGGCCAACGAGAAGAGCCCACGCTGCCGCTCGGCGGTGGCGGGGGATTTCTCCAGCAGCAAACGAGAGATAGTGGGCAAGGACCACGGTCGCTGCTGGAAGGCGGCTGGGCCAGCAGATCGGGAGCGAACCCTGTTGGACCAGCCGGAGTGGGCCCGGGCATAGGACCGGACTACGGGGAAGCGAGGGGGTTAAACCCCCCAGGTGAGATACCCGTGATTCGAGGAAATGGAGAATACCTCGACGGCTACAGCAGTAGCCACATGAAGAGGGTAACGGTCAATGCTCCGCTCCTAGACGGAAAAAGCCGTAGCCACGGATTTGACTCGTGGCGAAAATCATTCATCCAAGCTGCGAAGACCATCGACTTGGACGGGCTGTTTATAGGAGATGCAGAGAGCAGTATCCCCGTGGGCGACCCAAACTTGCCGACTTCCGAACTGCTCCGTAGGGGGTACACGAGAGCAGAAGTCCAACGGGGGCTTCAGGCGTTCCACTTTATCACTACTGCTGTGGTAAAAGAAGCTGACAAAGCAATTATCAGCAACTGTACGTCAGCGAAAGAGGTCCTTGCGGAATTGGAAAAGGTCTACGATCCGGAGTCACAGGGGTCAAAACAGGCCTTGATGCGGAAGATGTTCGACTTTGCAATCCCCACACACAGCAACAGCAACCCCATCGAGCACCTCTACTCTCTCGAGCTGCTGTATGCCCGCCTGCGCGAAAAGGGGCTCAATGCTGAACAACCCTTCGTTCTCGCCCACTTCGTTGGTTCCCTCCCACCCGAGTACCAACAAGCGAAGTTCCTGTTGGAGACAGCAACGGCGCTGGATAGGGCCGAGATCGTCAGGATCGTGAGCACGGTGCACGCGAGCCTCCCGGAGGGAAGGAAGGCCTCGAAGGGCCAGCGTAGGGCGGAGCATGCTCTCCTCGCGAGTGACGGTGGCGGCGGGGGAGGAGCGCCGGGCCGCGGCAACAGCGGCCGCCGCAAGGGTGGCGGCGGCGGTGGCGGCAACCAGAAGGGGAGAGGGGGGGGTGGCGCGAAGGCTGGAGGCGGCAGCGGAGGCGGCGACGACGATGCGGGTAGCATGCGCGGTCGCTGTTTCCGGTGCGGTAAGAAGGGCCACCAGGTGGCCAACTGCCCCGAGAGCAAGCCCGTGCGATGTGAGACATGCAAGGGCTACGGCCACGACAAGAGCAAGTGCCCGACCGAAGAGGCGGTGCTCGTGGTGGAAGTGCCGGCGGGGAGGGCGTCTGCGGACGCCACAGCACTGGACGTGGCAGAAGAAGCGCTGGTGGTCGGTGACATCTCAGGCGAGTGTCACAAAGTCGTTGGTCGAGGGGGTGTAGAGCAGGCTAGGCGGGGTAGGTATGTTGCCGATACCGGCGCTACCACCCACATGTTCGCGAACTCAGATGGGTTCGTTCGTTACGAAGAGTGTGATCGACGTGTGCGCGTCGCCGCCGGAGAAACCTTCCCTATCGTAGGGTATGGCGACGTGACGGTAACCCTTAGCTCGCGCGACGGTACAACCGACCTGTTGTTGAAACGGGTTGCACACGTCCCCCGACTAGACTACAACCTAGTATCTCTCACTTCCCTCTTCGACGACGGGTTCGAAACCAAAACCCTCAACAAACACGAGTTGGAGTTGGAGAGAGGGGGGGGGGAGGTGGTGTACTTCCCCCGATGCGGTAACCTGTACGTCCAAAACGGTTTCCGCACACACACCGAACATGCCTGTGCCGCAATTGCTCCTGGCAACGCGAAAGCGCCCAGCACCCCCGTTGACATCAACGATTTCCACTGCGCGCACGGCCACTCCCACGAGGTGCTGCTGAGGACCACGGCGAAGCAGCAAGGGACGACGCTGGTGGGCGAGCTCCGGGAGTGCCTGGGGTGCTCGACGGCGAAGGGGCTTTCCAAGCCCATCCCCAACAAAACGTCGACCCGAGCAGTTAAGAAACTGCAGCGAGTTTTCGTGGATTTGAGTGGAAAAGCTAGGGTGCAGAGCTTGGGGGGAAAGTGGTACACTCTCATTGTCAAGGATGATTACACAAGGTGGAACCGTGTCTATTTCCTGAAGCACAAATCAGACGCAGCTGAGGCATTCGAGAGATACCTTGCCGAAAACCGGGCAAACGGTGCCCCGTCCGATGTCATGGTCGTGAGATCTGACAACGGAGGAGAGTTCTTTGAGGGAGAGTTCGGCAGGGTGTGCCGGAAGTACTGCATCAAACAGGAGTTCACCCCCGCGCACAGCCCAGAATACAACGGTGTAGCTGAGAGAGCACTGGGTCTGATCAAGGATGCAGCACTAGCCGCCCGTATCCAAGCGCCAACTCTTTACCCCGGAGCACCGAACTACCCATCCCTTTGGGCCGAGGCCATAGCTTGGTCATGCAACGCCCTGAACTGCACCTCCACCACATCCAACCCAGAGAAGAAGTCGCCGTACGAGATGTGGCACGGGCACCCTCCCCCGCCGGGGGCGACGTACCCGTTCCTCAAACCTGCCGTATACAAGGTCAAGCGCACACACAAGTCCGAGCCAAAAGCCCAAAAGTGTTTTTACCTCGGCCCGGGAATCAACACCAACCGTGATTGCGTGCGCATCCTCAACGAAAAACGCCGAGCGATCACAACTCGCAACTTCACCTGGCAATCCGTGCCCGCCGCCCCCGCCGCCCTGCCCCAGTCGCTGCCTCCCATCGCAGAGGAGGAAGAGGAATTCGCGACTGAGGAGGACGAGGTTGGGGAGGGCGCGTCGAACCAAGGTGGAGGGAGGGCGGAGAGAGAACCTGTGGATGGAGGACCAGGTTTCAACCTTGGCACGACGGCAGCCCCAGGGCCCGCGGGGCCGCCCGCGCGCGCAGCGCCGGCGGCACCGCCGGCCGCGCCCCAGGAGTCGGGCGCGGGCGACGCTGGCGATGGCGCCCCCTCGAGCAGGGAGAGCGCGAGCGTCGCCCCATCTACCACGTCGACCGGCACGGCCGATGTGGGCGGCGGCGAGGACGACCGCCGCAGCAGCAGCAGCCGCGGTAGCGGCGGCAGCGGCGGCAGCGGCGGCGACAGCAGTAGCCGCGGTAGCGGCGGCAGTGGCAGCGACAGCAGCAGCGGTGGCAGCAGCGTCGATGACGGCGGCAGCGACAGCAGCAGTGGCAGCGACAGCGAGACGGATCTCCCGGCGCTCTGTGGGCCAGAGGCCCGGCGGCTCGCCCGCTTCGACAAGCCGGCGGAACTCACCAGCCGCCGCACTAGGGAGAACCCTCGCCGAAATCCGAGGTACGAGTCGCCCCCGTCGCCGCCCACATCGGCCCCGTCGCCGACAAGTGCCGAAGCCCTGCTCGCCTCGGTGGCGAGCCTGCCCGACAGCAGCACGGAGGAGTTCACCCGCTGGATGCTCTCGGCAGTACTTCACGTGGCGGAGGGGCTAGAGGCGAGGGTGGTGCGAGAGTTGCTGTCCGAGCGCGCGCAGGAGGCCCACGCTGCGCGCCAAGAGGCGGAGGATTTCCTGCTGGGTACGGTGGACCTCATGCTCAACTCGCCAGACGCCTTCGAGACGGCTCTGGCGTCCCACGAGCTAAGTGAATCCCCCATAGGCAAGCGTCCGAGTGATGTAGAAGCCCCACCCATGACTGTAGCCGGCGTTGCCAAGTCTGTTTACCGAGAGGGGTGGGAACAGGCCATGAGGGAAGAGTTTGAAGGGCACTTGGGCACGGGGACGTTTTCATTCGTAGACGGTGCGCCAGAGGGGCGCAGGCCTGTGAGCTCAAAGTGGTGTTTTAGTTGGAAGACCAACAAGGAAGGGAAGATAGACACGTTCAAAGCGCGTCTGGTTGCTAGGGGGTTTTCGCAAATCCCGAACGTCGATTATTTCCATTCGTCTTCCCCTTGCCCCTCATCCGCATCCATTAAGCTGATGCTTGCGGTAGCGAACGAGAAGGGCATGAACCTCAATCACTGGGATGTGAAGCAGGCGTATACACACGCTACGCTAGACGAGGAGGTTTTTCTGAAGCTCCCCGCTGGGTGCGGGGACAAGTCGCATAAGATTGCTAAGGCTGAGCGTGCGATTTATGGTCTGAAGCAGAGCGGTAGGCAGTGGGGGTACCACGCTGCTGATACGCTAGTCGAGAACGGGTTCGAGCAATGCAAGGCGGACCCGTGTGTTTTCCGCAAGATGGTAGACCAAGTCGTGGTGATGATTATCGTGATTTATGTGGATGACATTTTGGTGGCTGGGTCTGACGAGGATTGCGAGGAGTTGCTTGCTTCTCTCAACAAGAAATTCCCCACCAAAAACCTTGGAGAGTGTCAATGGTTTGATGGGTGTGCCATCGAGAGAGATGTAGAGGCTGGGACTCTTAGAATCTCCCAAACCGCGTATATCGACAGCATGGTTGAACGCTTCGATGTGAAATCAACTTCCCGCATCCCCGCTACCCCTGGTGCCGATCTAGGGCCGAAGCGAGAGGATGAGGAAGGAGGGGAGTGGCCGGTGAGGGAGGCCATCGGCAGCATGATGTGGGTGTCGACTTTCTCGCGTCCAGACGTCTCGTTCGCCGTGCGTGCGGTAGCGCGCCACGCCCACGCCCCGGCGAAGCGGCACTGGGATGCCATACAGAAGATCCTCGGCTACCTGAAAGGGACGAGGGACCTCGGCATCACCTACCAACGGGGATCGGGGTTAGGGCTGGCCGTGTACGTAGACGCTAGCTACGCCGACACGGAGGATAGGCGTTCGGTGTCAGGGTTGGCGACGACGGTTGGAGGTACCGTAGTCAGCCATGGTAGCAAGACGCAGAGTATCGTGTCTTTGTCTTCAACGGAAGCCGAGTACATTGCTGCCGGGGAGGGTGTCAAGGAGGCGTTGTTTGTGCGTGCTGTGCTTTCGTTTGTCGCCCCAGAGACCAGTGGTAGCAGCATCAAGGTCCTTGAGGACAACCAGGGGGCCATAGCGTTGGTGCAGAACCCCCTCAGCTCAGGTCGCACGAAACACATCGACGTGAGGTATCATTTCATCCGAGGATTGTTTAGGTCGGGGGATATTTCGGTCAAGTTTGTTCCGACAACGGAGCAACACGCGGACCTCCTTACCAAGGCCCTTAGCAGGGTCAGTCTGCAGTACCACCGGCGCAAGCTGATGAATTTGCCGGAGTAGATGTAGCAGTTTTTAGCACTTGCCTTGGATTTTTTGGTAAGTGCGGCCGTTGTAAGCCGCTGTGATAGCGAGGGTTTTTTGTGGTGGAAGGGTTTTTCCTTGAGGGGTTTTGCCCGGACGCCGGGTTTCCCCTCCATATGTTACCATGTTGGTATTTTCTGATGTATCCTGGGGCGTTCTTGCCCAATTGATGGTTAGTCACTTGCGTGAAGAACCAGGGAGGGTGTTCGTGAGTCTGCGAACATTGCTGTTGGATACATGTGCTGGATGATTTTGTGTCACGCAGACTGGTAAGATAACCGTTTGATAGGGGGCACCGCGATGATTCACGGGGCCCCTCCTTGCTGTGGGAGCCGCTCTTTGAGCACTCCCTCTTTCGTCCGTGTGAAGGATGGTCGTCTACCTCCCGTGAAGTTAATACATCACCAAAACAGTCTCACCCGATAAATAAGTGGCGTAGGCCGCAAACATAAGAAACAGAGGAAAGTGTTCCGGTGAAAGTAGAGCGTTTAGGAGACGAGGGGACACGGGATGACTTCCAGAACTGGCTGGTAGTGTAGAACCCTTCAGGAAACTGCTGAGAAGCGTCGAAGACGAACAGGTAGACGTACAAGCAGGGGACAGAGTGATTGAAGGGTGGGAGTCCATAGTGAACACAACGGCAGAGGGAGTAGTGGGAAAGAAGGTGGTACAATGTGGGGGTATCGGTTAAGTGGTGGGATGACGAGCTGAAAGAAGAAATAAGGGAACGTAGAAAAGTCTTCAAGCAGTACCTGAGTAAGACGTCTGAGGAGAGTTGAGAAAAGTACAGGGCCAAGAGAAAACCGGTGAAGGGACTAGTGAAAAAGAAGAAAAGGTGCATTTGGGACGAAGTAGTGCAGAAGGCCAACGGAGGTCTGGAGGGGAACATCAAGCAGATATGGGAAGGGATTTATGGAATGGTAAAAATGACCGCGCAAGGGGGGGTACAGGGGTAGCAACTTTGCGAGGTGTGAACAATGGATTAGTCAGCAATGGGAAGGGAAAAAGGGAAGTTCTCGCAGGATACTACAAGAGACTTGGAGTGCCCTTGGAGAATGAAGCTTTTGACCAAGTGTTTGAGGAGGAGGTGGACGCATGGGCCCAAAAAATTTAGAAGAGACATCGAAGGCAGACGTTGGGAACGTAGAACTAGAAGGAGTCCACTGAGGACGAGGTTGAGGCGTGTGTGACCAAGCTGAAGTGCCACAACGCAGCAGGAGCGGATGGGATAGTCAACGAGTTCATGAAGTTTGGGGGGAAGGGAATGATCCAGCTGATGTTACTGCTATACAATTGGGTGTGGAAAAACGAGTATACGCCAAGTAGATGGAGGGAAGGAGTGGTTGTGAACTTGTTTAAGAAAGGAGACAATACTGACCCAGGAAACTACAGGGGGATCACACTGTTGAACACAGTAGGAACAGCTTTCTGTAAGCTGCTGAACGATAGGATAGTGGGAGTATTGGAGAAGGAACATAGCATTAGTGAGGGCCAGGCAGGTTTCCGCAAGAAGAGGGGGTGCGTAGACCACGTGTTCACGGTAGGGAGAATCATCCAAGGTAGAAAGAGGGCGGGAAAGCCGACGTACTGCTTCTTCCTGGACGTGAAAAAGGCATACGACACCGTATGGAGAAATGGGTTGTGGAAACAACTGTCCAAATACGGGATCAAGGGGAAAATGTGGAGCGTGCTGAAGAAGATGACAGAATGTACGAAACGCGCGGTCATATTAGACGGAGAACTGTCTAAATTCTTCGACATTGAGCAGGGGGTCCC